AGGATGGCGATACCCAGGACGACGGCGGCGAGGACCCAGCGGCCCCAGTAGTACCACGAACTGCGTTCGTAGCACCCGTATGCGTTACAGTACGTGGCTCTGAACGTTGGTGTTAGTTTTGCGTGGATGAATTGTCGCTGGTGATGGGATGGGGACGGGGGGCGGGCCATCGCAATCTGCCGTCGTTGTTGATCGGCGGAAGATCGCGATGTGTCCGACGGGGAAGTATACTATGACGAAAGACTTACCTCTTCGTAATCGCATCGTGAGTTGCCTGAGGGAGAGGGTAGGGAAGGATGTGAAAATCTGCGGGCGCCATGTTGATGATTTTGGCGATGCGCTGGATGGAGACGGCGCAGTCGATGTTTGCTGTCGGGTGTAGGTGACGGAACTTGCCAACCGAACTTATTTACTGGCCGACAAACAGGGAATGTGGCCGTAAAAGTAAAGACGCAATGATAGGAAATCTCTCAATCTGAAATCGTCTTCGCAGTTATGCCAAAGCAAAGGAAAGCTCGTGGCGTTGTGTCGTGAGATGTATTGCTATTCAATGACGTGATAGCTGTTGGCCTGACGTCGCGGTTGCTGGAACGTTCACCCCCTCGTACGAGTGAATGGGGCAAAGGTTGGATGAAATTAGGCCCGCCCGGTTCAGGTTCTCTGCTTCAGGGACCTCGTAGGTGGGTTTAGGTGCAATAAGGCTTAGGTCGTTTGGGGTGTTATGCAGGGCGGAGCGGACGCTGCAAAAGTCGAGTCGGGTTTGATTAGGCTGAGCGCGAGCTTGGCGAAAAAGGTCTAAATAAATGGGATGGGCGAAAGAGGGAGGGGGGGAAGGACGAGGGATGGATCAGTTATATTCGCTGGTAGGTCAAGAAAGTTAGGTGAGGAAGAAAAAGCCAAGAAGACCGTCACCCGTCTCTGGACAAAGCGACGTCTTGGAGGCTGGGCAGAGTCACCGGCCCCGAATGAATTGCGTGGCCTGCCTCCTCTGCCCAGACTTTTGGTTGCTTGTTCGGAGCTGGGAACCTTCGCGCATTCCCACACACACAGTGACTGACTCCAACGCACACAAAGTACCCTTACTCTCCGGCCGCCGTATCCCAACACCGGGCTGCCTCACGAAACTGGTTCCGATTTTGCCGTTCTCGTACCTCCGTCCCTCCGTTCCATCGAGACGGTACCTACCTATCCGAGTCTTGAGCACCTGGACCATGCCTCCCTCAGAAGCATGTCAACAGCACCAGCATCATCAGCAATCAGCATCACCGCTGCGCCGGTATCAGCACTACTTGCCATTACAATTCCCCCAACAACCAAAGTCATGACAAAACACTTCTCTTCCGCAGGGTCCATTTCGCCCGACCAGCCAGTCAGTCCACTGCTCTCCAGCGACCCGTCAGTGGCTGTGTAATCCAATACTGAGCCAACCGCAGCTGTCCTCTCCTCGCAGCACGCCGAGGAGCGAATCACAGCGAGCGCAGGCCGGCCGGGGATATCGCTCCCAGCGCCTGACATCACCAGCCGAAAAGGCAAACGAGGGAGGCTTGGCCAAACACTTCTGGTGGCCCAATATTCCCCGCTGGGATTCCTCACCAACCGTGGCGCTGTCGCGGTAGCGTGACCCTACCTTCCTACCGACGACCAGTCACCACCGCCGGAATCTGGAATCATCGAGAGGAAACTTTTGCGCCGTCGCCCATCTTCTGCAGCATCTCGCGTCGTCAGGTACATGGCCTGCCAATGCGCGAGCCAAGTGGACTAGGCGATGCAGAGCTGTGCAGCTCACCAGATCCGCCCGTCCCTTATTCCCGTTCCATTTGTCACCTCTCCCGCATCGCCGCCAGTGATAGTGTAATCCCCAATTGCCTATTCCGGAACACATCAGAGCTAAACGATCGATATACCGACCGGCGGCGACATTCCACAACTTGCTTCGTCCGCCAGGGCAACTCAACACTTTCTCCCGGGAAAGACGGCCGCCCACGTGAGCTACCTACCCAGGCATCGCAAGCATAATATCTCCGGCTGGTCTCGTTTCTCTGCAGCTTTATCTCATCTCATCCCCCTCTACTAAGAACCCTTCTTCGACTTGGGTGCTTATAACTTCAGCCTAATAAGCCCTCACTTGTTTATAACAGCAATCTAACGTTTCCTTCTACGTTAAGCCCGTCCCTCCGCGGGCGTTTCTATGGATTGAGGACAGGAATACCCACCACCCTGGGTTCCAGCTCCATTTCTTCGACGCGAGTGCGACTGCCAAAACCAACCTTAAAAGACGCCCGGCGACCCGCGTGTCCCGGGCTACCGGGGGCACTGCTGCTGCTGACGGCGGCCCCGTCCAGCGCTGCCTGGCGTTGAGGACCACCCCACTGGGAGTGGAGGGTCCTGACCAAGGATCCCCGCCGCGGCGCTGGCAATTGTCGAAATGTCTATCCAGAGCAAATCATAACTGACGTACATAACGGAGAGCTCGAGAACACGAACAACTAACGAAACTTTCACAGACGAGAACGTTGAGAGCTCCGATTACTTAACATAGCACAGCCCGGCCGAGGCTTCAGGCCGGCTTATTATAATCTAACCTATCCCACCGCTATCCAACCCACGAAATCGGGAATCCCAGCTGAACTTCCACGAGCGCGGCCCCTCCAACAGAGATTAGATTTACCGCCTCCATGGCGCTTCCGCCAAGGCTGTTTCCAGCTTTTCCTTCGCGACCAACTCTGTTTTTGATAGCCTCCTGCGCTTCCTGGCCAATCCCCGAGCTAGGCGCCGGACGGTTGGTCCGATCTCAAAACCCTCACCCTCCGCCGCACACCCGTCGGCCGGGACCTCCATGGTATGCCCAGTGCACCGTCGGGCTTGGCGGCAGGTTGACATTTTACCGCTTGCCTCCCTCTTTCGGTATCCGTCACATCTAAGCTGATCCAACACGTCGGTCCGCGAAAGCCATTTCATATCGTAATTGTACTGCTCTTGGTATTAGAAGAAAAGTGTAGTCTACGAACACACGAATCCTGCGCTGGTCAGCCTCGAGGGAACTTCCCCCAGCAAGCGCTGCGATGTACTCAGCCTCTCAACCGCTTTATTACAGAGCATCGAAAGAGGCTGCGTCCTCGAAGGATAACAGACCCTCGCAATCTTTTTTCAACCCGCACCAAAAATTTCCCAAGGTCCTTCATTAACCGGATGAAGGACCGAGACCAAGAGCCAGTGAGCGACCTTGATCAAAGGTTGCCTCCCTGTCCTTCCAAACTTGTAGCACATGCCCAGTCATCCAAGTGACAATCGCTCGTGGAACCCGTAACACCAAATTCGTCGTGACTTTTAACAAAGCAACCATGCCGAATACCTGTTCCCCCTTGCTGAAAAATGGAGAAAAGGATTTTGTCCGTAAAACGCCGTACCGCCGCTGATCAAAAGACAACAAAACCGTCTGTGTCCGTCCGTGTTGTCGATATGTCGTCGTTATCGTCACTTGGGAAACGTAAACCTGGAGGTAATCTTCTCGGGCTCCTTCTTGCCCGCGCCGCCTTGTTGCTGTTGCTGCTGCCTCTGCGCGAGGTCCGCAATCTTCTCCCTCGCCTTCATCAAGCTGCTGTTGTCCTGCTGCTTCAGCTTCGCGCGGATCTCGTACAAAGCCATCAGCGTCGAAGCCCTGTCCAAATCGTCTTCGCCCTGTTGCGCAATCGTGTGAGCTCTCGTCTCCTGTCCCGGGACCTCCAGGAAGTGGTGGGGGTAAGGGTGATGAAGGGGGTGAGGTACGTCAGAAAACCCCTTGGGCGTGCCGGGAACGGAACCCTGGGCCGAGTTGGACCGCGAGAGCATGGGGGGGCTCATCATGATGCGGCGCCCGAACTTGTCGACGCGGGCGGGCGTCGCGGCGCCTGTGCCTGGGCGTGATGTCTGGGAAGAGTGTGCGCGGCGGAGTTCGTCGGTTGGTCGCTTGGGGACGACGCCGCCGCTGGTCTTTTCAACCGTCTCGATCGCCTTGTTCGCCGTCACGAGAGCTGCTGCTGCATTGGGTTCCTGCCGGAAATTTCGTCAGCTTCTGGGGTTGTTTTCGAGAGGCAGCATCGGCTGCGAAGGCAGAGAAAAGTTTGTTGCGGATCTGCCTCCTATCCTACCCCCTGCGAGATGCGCACCGCGAGAGGCAGATTTCGATGGGTGACATGGGCGAGTAATGGGGGGCCAGGGGATGAGGAAGACGAGGAGGAAAACGTACCGCCGCGTTGAGGCTGCTCAGGTCGGCGAGCATCTGCGCCAGCTGGAGACTCTCCATGGCGTCGGGCGTCCTTGGCTGCGTTTGCGTTGCGAAAGGGCTCCTGGAGATTTTCGGTCGCGTGCGTGTAAAGGGACGGATGGAGGTGGTCAATTAAAGTCCAAGGAATGTTAAAGGCGTTGCTGGGAAGTGGATATCGATGGTGGGATTTAGCGGGCGGTCGAAGGGTAAAGACAGCCTGGGAGGTGGGAGGTTGTTGGTGGGACGGGCCATGGAAACCCACCGACGCCGTCATTCAAGGCTTCCGTGTTGTCTTAGCTTTTTCTTCTTTCCCACAGAGCGTCAGGTACAACAGCAGTAGCGGTGTGATGGTGCGCTTGTCAAGTACCTCTAGCTTGCTGCAGCCGGCTTAAAGTTGATTGTGTCTGAGAAGCGTGTGGGGGAAGGACAGAGCGCCGGGTGCGGGTGCTCCTTTGCTGCTGCAGCTGCCGTTGTGGTGACTTCCAGCGTGTGCTTGATTCCTGCCGCACGCCGCCGTGGCACATTCACTACTGCATTTAATACTGCTGATGAACAGGCACACCACCAATGGACAGCACCTCCCGAGTACCAGATGGCGGCAGATCAGAAGTTGCAGAAGCGCAACCCCAGGGCGCCCAGTTACCCCGCCGGAGACAAGGCAAAGTGTCCTCTTCGATCTCCCATTGGATCTGATGCTGTCGCCATCTTCGCGGAAGCGGGGAGGAGGAAACCCCCCACACCGAGCACTTCAGCCACAATGCGCGGATCCCCGGGCTCTTCCCTGTCGATTGTCACCGTCACTGTCCACTGGAGTTGTCTGGCCTGCTTTCCCCGCGACCAATCTTCTCCACCGCTTGGAGTTTGGGCAGATCTCAGTACGTATCGAACCTGGGGAAACCGTCCCTTCGTGCTGCCTTTGTCTGGGCATCCATCCGTACTGCACAGTAGTATGCTGAGGGAACTTAGCTGCAGCCCTTTTGAATTGACGAAGGCCATGCTCAACACTCGGGTAGGCTGCAAATGGTCCGCGTACTTTGGATGACAATCTTCCATAACTCGCCATGCTGTGGTGTCTTCGCGAAGCGTTTTATTGCTGGAGTCTGACATGTACTCTGTAGTAGACACATTAGTACACACATTGGCATGTCGTTGTCCTACCTTGCCTCAGGAGTAATTGCATTTCACAGTGATACGAGCAGCACTTGCGAAATGCCACAACGTGCCCGCGGACGTTGCCTCACGAAGGAGTGCTATCCGAATTAAACTAGTACCACCATAGGATCATTAGAATTGCCATGGTGAGACACTTACAGCATAGATACATGATGGCAACGAGCCGAAAGAATTCTTCATGACCTGCCGTTCTATTCGACTGTTCCTGTTCCTGTTGCTGAATGGTGGGGTGGCGTGCTGGAACCGATAACTGTGGCTCACTGTGGCTCAAATGGCGTTATCGATGTTCGTTTCTGACCACTCAGGGCTCGGGCTTTCCTGCTTTCCCCGAGGGGAAGTTCCCCACTGGAGCTTCAGACACCTCCCTCCAGCAGAGCAAGCCATTGTCCAGTCAGAGTAAGTGAATCATCTGGGAGTGCAGTTACGAAGAAAAGTGAAGCCCTCATTGAAAAAGAATCCAGGGTTGACAATTGTGCCTTTAACTGCAGTTATCAAAGTCCTTGTACGTTGGCAAATCTCCCTTTCACCGGGTATCCTCCCGAGGTTATCGGGCTCGTGAGCCGAGACTCCGATGAAGCTCCGGTGACCACCTCCGACGTCGCCTACCCTCACTCACTCTAAAGAGGCCCCGAAACGCTGACGGAACCTCATCTCAGACCTCAATTCATATATATCGTCAAGATGTCGATGATTTTCAAGCGCTCAATGGCTACCGCCGCCTCGTTCAAGAAGGCCGGCAAGGTCGTGTGCATCGGCCGCAACTATGCGTGAGCAACGTCCCACCCCAACCATTGCCTGTGATCCAGACGGCTAACATGCAGCATCCAGCGACCACGTCAAGGAGCTCAACAACACCCGCCCCAAGCAGCCCTTCTTCTTTCTGAAGCCCACCTCCTCCATCCTGCTCCCCGGCGCCGGCCCCGTCCTGAGGCCCAAGGGCGTCGACATGCACTTTGAGGTCGAGCTGGCCCTCATCCTCGGCAAGCAGGTCAAGGACCTCAAGCCCGACGACTACAAGGGCGCTCTGGCCGCCATCGAGGGTGCGTCACTCCCCTACCTCACACAATCTCTCCTCACAGGCTAACCATCTCACAGCGTACGCCGTCTCCATCGACATGACGGCGCGCAACGCCCAGAACGAGGCCAAGAAGAAGGGCCTGCCCTGGGACATCGCCAAGGGCTTCGACACCTTCCTGCCCATGAGCGACGTCATCGCCAAGTCCGCCATCACGGACCCGCACGACGTCGAGCTCTTCCTCAAGGTCAACAACGAGACCAAGCAGGACGCCTCGACCAACCTGATGCTCTTCCAGATCCCGCGCATCCTGAGCGACATCTCCAAGGTCATGACCCTCGAGCAGGGCGACATCGTGCTCACGGGCACCCCCGCGGGCGTCGGCCCGGCCGTGCCTGGGGACGTCATCCGCGCCGGTATCCGTGTGGGCGGTAAGGAGCTCGCTGAGGGCAAGATTGAGGTCGCGGTGGAGGAGTCGCCTAGCTCGTACGTCTTTGCGGAGACATGAGGCGGAGGAATTTGTGTGAGATTAGGTTAATGCAGTAAATGAGCGGGTTTATGTGATGGAGGAGGCACAGCGGTCGCCGGTCTAGAATATACAGTCTCGAAAAATTCAGTAGCAAGATCACATGTACTTTTATAGATGGTCTGATCTGCATCGCCTACAATATACCAAATATCCCGTAAACGACACCCACCGAACTCCATGCCGCCATCTCAAAAGCCCCGCCATCACTCCAGGTTAGGGTCCTTGATCGAACCAGGCTTCGGCGCCGACTCCGCAACAACACCGCACTTCTTACACGTGCGGCCCGCCTCGTCGGCCTTGAACGCCTCGACGGCGGCCTTGATCTGCGTGCCGAGGTCGGTGCAGTGGAAGGCCGCCTCGTGGACGACCTCGCGGCAGGCCTCGCAGTACCAGCGCATGCGGTCGAGCGAGCCCTCGGGGCGGCGCTGCTCGAGGACGACGCCGACGGTGTTGGCGAAGCGCACGGGGTTGTGCGGGGTGTTGCCGGGCAGGAGGAACATGTCGCCCTCGCGGATGATGACGTCCTTGAAGACGCCGTCGTCGACGACCTTGAGCATCATGGCGCCCTTGTACTGGTAGAACCACTCTGGGGTCTGGTTGATGTGGTAGTCCGTCCTGGCGTTGGGGCCGCCGACGATCTGGGGAAGGGTTGTGAGTGAGTTGCGTGGGCCTGGGTGAGAGGGGGTGGGGTTTGGTTTACCATGACGGTGAAGTCTTCATTGTAGACGCAGTAGTTGTTGATTGGCGGTTTGAGGAGGTGGGAGTTCTCCTCCAGCCTAGTGTTGGTGTGAGTTGATGTTGCGCGAATAGCTTCAAGTGCATCACGAGCGGACTTACCACTTGGGGAGGTTGACAGGGGTGGAGAGCATTGTGAGAAGTTTGTCGGGTTTACTTGAGTCGCGGACCACTACTCCAACTCAATAAGTTGCCAATAGTATCAAAGTGGACTTTTTATTCCTGTGCTGGAGAATTATATGTGGGTTGATGACTCGGCAGGATGTTTATGGACAGGTCAAGATGAGGTCAGGTCAGAGTTGAGGGGCGGATGTGATGGGATGTCGTTGTGTAGATAATGCCTCTCTCTTTGCTCTCACGTGGCGAATGAGAAGTCAGCATTTGATGGAATTTTAGGCTTTTAATGACTTTTCTATCGGATTTCCAACAAAAGAGCAGTCGCATTTATCAGCCTCCATCCGCTAAAAGCCGTGCCTCATCCGGAGCGGCTCTTCGGCCTGGGGATTCGGAGCAAACTGAACGGCCCGCCACGAGCTTTTCCACAACCGACTTTCTTACTAATAGAGATCTTCAACTCGTCAAAAGACTCCATTTCGAGATGGGAAACATCCCAGCGGACAGTCTCATCAGCGCATCATCGGCAACTCGAGCCGTAGCAGCCTCAATCGCACGCAGGCAAAACCCGCAGCCGGTCCCTAACCGCTCAGCGGAAACAACCCCGCCGTATCTGCCGAGCGATCCTTGAACAGCATCGACCGTCCAGTGACGGAAGAGCAGTGTGAAGAGAGAGGTGCAAGACAAAAAGAGCCACCCATGTGACGCATGGCATCACACATGTCTGGGAGCCGGGCCCCCCTCGCCCCGCCCTACCCGTCTGGCGCTGTCTCGCCCACTTCGCATTCCCTGCCCTCGCTCGCTGTACGAGGCCGTCTGTAAGAGAAGATGGGACAGTGGACTCGGGAGCAGCCCGCCCTCGTCTGCGTCAGCAATGCAATCCCTCAGGCTGCTGTCATCTCACTGGAGAAAAAGCGCGCTGGCTGGCCACCTGATGCTGGCGAGCGAGACTTGCATCCGAGGATGGGAGAGGCCCGGGCGGAGCCACCCTCTTAAAACAATTCAGACGAGTCAACAACGCCTTAGCCGCCGCGAATGCACTGCCAGGTCCTTCCCTCCCGCCACGTCCCGCATCCCGTTCGCCCCAAACTCACTCACTGCGAAGTTGCTTACGGCGTAAAGGTTAGAGGGCAGCACATGGCACAGAGCACTCAGCGGCACTGCTCCAGCCCCTCCTCCATCCAACCAGACCAGAGCTATTCCGCATCAACCTTAACTCTCCTGCCACGCACCAGAAGAAAGGCTGACACCCTTTGAACAGTGCCCGTCTGAGTTGTTAGCTAAGGTAGTCGAGCAGCCCGTTAGTTACCTGCTCCTTCCCTACACCGACAGTGACAACCAAACAAAAGGAAAGAGGGAACATCCCGTCGCAACCTGCGCACATATGAGCAAGTTTCCTCAAGCCACGGGCCCGCCACCGACTTCTCTGCGCAGAGCCCTGACTGATATTTTTCTGCATGACCATGTACGGCACAAGGCTGGATCCGCATACCTTGCTGTGATAAATCCCAAGAATCCCATATTCTTCAACAGGCGTGCTCTGCCCATTCATTCTAGATCGTCTCTCTGATACCCGCCCGCATATCTTCCCCTTAGCTCCCGCTCTAACCGACCACGACGTACCCTCCCTCCCCGCGTAAACCTCTTATCTTATCAGACACCACCCCCAGCTGATGTGACACCATCCGACCTCCGACCGCAGTATCACATCCCGAGCCTTTGGGCCCCCTTAACCCTTCTTTCTCAAACATCAACAACCGCAATCCGAACCTCGACGATCGCTTCTCAATCGCTTCCTCGAATCCTCGACGATTAGCATCCATTAAAGAATACCCAGAAACTTCCCCGTCAGAATGGACCACGCACACATGGATCACTCCCACATGGACCACGCCGCCATGGACCACAGCAACATGGGCGGTCACGGCGGTATGGGCGGCGGCATGGGCGACCGCTGCAGCATGAGCGTACGTCTTTTCCTCTCCTCGCCCTCTTTCCCCGTCGACATGGCCGCTCCGGAGGCGGCGACGGCGGGGAGCTGTTGCCAACAGTTTGGCTTCTCACCCGTCCCCCCCGAACAAGCGCGAGCAATGCTAACCTCCCATGTTCCTCTTAGATGCTCTTCACCTGGGACACAAACAACCTTTGCATCGTCTTCCGCCAATGGCACATCCGCTCGACTGGCGGCCTCATCATCTCCCTCCTCCTCGTCGTCGCCCTCGCCGCCGGCTACGAGGCCCTCCGCGCCGCATCCCGCCGCTACGAGCAATCCGTGAACAAGCGCGTCGACTCTCTCCCGAGTAAGCTTTTCCTCCTGCCCCGGCCGAGCCATACATGCGCATATATCACACACACATATCCAGACAATCTCCAAGCACATACAAATCTCTCCCCGTCATAAACCACACCCCACAAGACTCTTTGCTTTACACATAAAACCCAAACATGCGCAAAACACCTCTTAAAAAGCGCCGCCTCCTCTACGAAGGAGGCCGGCCCCCGGTGAGCGCAGATATTACAAAACCCCCTTCCCCCCCTAGAACCATGTGAAAAAGCTAAGAGTCTTGTCTTCCTTGAGGCATCGCTGGCACCGTTACTGAGACAACTCCCTTCCTATGGACAGGACGCGAACAAGCAGAGGCCAGCAGGACCGCCCACATCATCAAGGCGGCCCTGTACGCCGCGCAGAACTTTTACGCCTTTATGATTATGTGAGTTCCCCCTCGTCTCCCCACCTGCTGCCAAATTTGGGCTACATGCACGGGTGCGAGTAAATGCGGCCGCCATGCCATGCGCTGCGCGGCGCTGCATAGAATCCACCCGCGCGCGCATAATACCATTTTACAACCGCATTCGTCGAAACTGACCTCAACATCCCCCAGGCTCATCTTCATGACTTACAACGGCTGGGTCATGGTCGCAGTCGCCGTCGGCGCCTTCGTCGGCTACGTCATCTTTGGGAACTCGACCTCCTCCACAAAGGACAACGCCTGCCATTGAAAGAACTCCCCCGTTTTCACTTAAACCCGACACGAACACGTCCCACAGTTTCAGGGGGCCCGACTTTTGTTTGCAACTGGCATATGTCCTTTCTTTCCAGGGAACCGCGGACGCTGCTTTAGAATCATCATTCGCGGGGGAGCAGGGAAGGAGGGTGGGGCGCATTGTTTGCTTTTCTTGATGTTGCAAGTCGCAGGCGTTGGACACATTCCCGTACGTTTTATCTCCCTCGGTAGCAAAAAGGACGAGGGGCAGGGTAAAGCAGATCTTCGTTCCGTCATGGCAGCTGCGGCTTCTTCTAGCCGGCAGACTCTATATAGTTATTTCTACAAAGTGGAAGGGAAAACGGCCCTTCTTCCAAAGAATCATACCCAATGCAAGCATATTTCCCATACTCTCTGACGTTTTTTGTTTCTCACATTTACATCTTGGCCGGCTCCGTCTTCTCCTTATCCTTATCACCCGCCCCCTCGTCCCTCTTCCTCTTCTTGTCAACGAGGCTGCCCTCCCGCTCCGCCTGCAGGATGATCTCCTCGTCGCCAAAGTGCGGGTTGCACTCGAACTCGGGCTCTTTCCCGTACGCGATGCGCGCCGCGTCGACGAGCATGTGCGCCGTGAGCCCCCACACCTTGAACCTCCGTTGCTGGTCCTGCTCCTCCTCGAGCTTCTCGGCGAGGTTGCCCTGCGGGTGGTCCGCGTCCATGGCGTTGCCGGGCGTCGTGACGCGCTGGTCGTCGACGGGGACGTAGAAGTTGTGCACGCGCCAGGGGTGGTCCTTCCACTGGATCCAGTTGCCTTCGTACCAGCTCCCCGGGGGCAGCGGCCTCTGCTTCTTTTGGACCGCTGATGATGGCGATTCCTGGTCCGTGGCGCGGAGGAAGTTGTGGAAGGGAGCGGAGAAGACGGCGGCGACCTCCTTGGCGTCGAGGCGGGGGATCATGCGCTCCTCGACGAGCGGGGAGGGGTGCTCCGGGTCGTCGGGCTCCTCGTCGGCGTGGAGGAAGGCGACGCAGGGGCGGACGACGAGCTCGGTGCGCGCGAGGTTGTAGGGGAGGTAGCAGAGGGGTTCGATCTTGAAGGGTTTGGGGATGCGGGCGTCGTCCATGGGCAGGCCGATTTCTTCCCAGGCT